AGCTATCTGCATCACCATGACACTCCCATTTGCTGTGTTCACATAATTCTGTCAGAGATACAACTCCTGAGGTTGAATGCTTGCCCTCAAGAAGCTGGTCTTGATGTGCACCAAGCATTTCAGGCATCAAATCAACATGTTTTGTTCATTCATTAGAAACAAAATACTAAATACTCAAATTTTAGTAAATATACAGGATAGCTTGGAAAACAGGTTGTCATCCCTTTATAATTAGTCATTGTCTTTATCTTGGATAATAATGGGTGGAAAGGTCCAAGAAAAGTCTACCTGCTGCTGATGTTTTGGAAACAATTACATGTTGAAGCATTAACAAATGCTATTTAAAAATCCATACAAGAAGAGTTTACACATTAACATGATATCCTGATGTATCAATGTCTCAACATATCCTTTAGACTCCCCGACAGAGTATATAAATTAGGCGGATTCCATTTTTGTCAAACCGTACTCAACTTTATTTGAGATGCTGTAATTGGCCCTGGCTAAAAGGGAAGTGTGTGTCAAAATAAAAATCAGCTAAACCTTCTGTCCCTGTTTGAACTGTAAATGTACATGGAAACAAGATTAAATAGAATGTGATCCCTTCCATAGGGAAATTACTCCTTGACAGACAGTATCCAAATTTTCAAATAAAAGTACATAGGAAGGGCACTGGAAGGCTCCAGCTACCTGTAACCCAACAAGACTAGGAGCCTTTCATAGAAGAAAAAAAGATGATAGCAGAAGGTGGTGGTTGGGATTGAAAGAGGATTAAATATATTCCAGCTATACTTGCTGCATACTAATGTTTGCCAATTTTCATTTTTAAAGAAGCTCTCTTGAAGACAGATCTTAAATTAGTTGCTCTTTGATCAGGGAACAATTCACTCTGATATAGATACTGGTATCGATAATCCAAATGGGATTTTTAAACTGTTGCAATTAAATATACAGTCAATATTCTTCAACAGGGAAACACTGACAGTGCCTTCACGGGGCATTTACTGAGCAATAATTTGCTCACCCAGTGCTGATTGTTTTTACAGATATGGTCCAGGCATGAGTTGAATGAGCATTTTTGTGGTACCAATGAGTTCCAGCAAAAGTGAAGTCAATGAACATCAATCATTTCAGTCTCGAGGCACTGCTGCAACAGTCCCTCAGGGTGGCGTCCTTGGATCAACCGCCTTCAGTAGTTCTATCAATGACTGTCCATCTGTCATAAGGTCAAAAGTGAGGAGGCTCACTGATGATTGTACAGTGGTTTAGTACTATTTGCAACTCTGCAGATACTGAAGCAGTTCATGCCCACATACTGCAAGACCTGAGCGACATGCATGCTTAGGTTGATTAGTGGAAAGGAGGACTTTAAAGACACAAGTGCCAGACAATGATCATTTCCAAGAAATAATCTAATTTTAGGATTTCATTCGAAACTAATAACTTTAAAGAAATAAATTCAATCTTCTAGTTGGCAGTTGAAAGGATGATTCAGCAAGAATTTATATTTTCAGACTTTTACAGTAACAGATTAAATACCATTTTGGAAGCAACTAATGTTAAGAACTTCAGTTCATCCAAATTTGTTCTATCCTCTAAGTTCCATTCACTGATCAGCAACAGTAACCGACCTAGGTTGCCAATCTCTTAACACCTTCAACTTTAAATTCTTATCCTTACTTTATAAACTTTTCGTTGCCTCTTCCTCTAAGCCATACTCCTCCAGTAACAAAAAAATGGAGCCTGAATGTACCTAACCTGGAAGGTCCAGATCTTGTCAGCAATAATCAAAAAGCAAGAGTACTAACAGTACAGTTATCAAGCCATCATGTCAATATCAAAAGGAGCACAAAACTGACACTCCCACAGGGCTCAGGAACTTGAAAGCAACCTCTATCTAACAAAGGTATACCCTCTTACAAAGTTGATCTGTAATTAAAACAAGTAGGAAATGCAACACACCAAATGAAACTCTTATTAATATAGCTGGTATCTACCCACCTGTGAAGAATGCTTGAATCGAGTGGAACAACAAAATCCTAGGAAATCTTTAACAATGGCTATTGAAATAAAGATGTATTTTGCACCAATACCATGAGCCAAAGATTAAAGCATTTGGATGAAACACTATCGAAGCCTGATATACTAATCAAAGAGGAGCAGGAGGAAGATGTCAATAGTTAATATGAGATATGAAGACAACAACATGGTGCTTGAGAGTGCACGAGTGAATAAATGATAAATATCAGCACCTAACATTAGTAACACCTTCCGCTAGGTGGAACAGACTGAAAGCATTATAGTCAAGTACTTTGACGTCATAATTGGAGGCCAAAAGAAAATGGCTTAAAAACAATCCAACCTTCACAAACTTTGAGAATCAAGATGTTCAAGACCTTCTCAACAAATCTTTGAAGCTCTTGCTAGTCTGGCGTAGGGCCATTTTCAACACCAAATTCACAATGTGACTAGATCACTGGTGCTGCAGTGATACTTTTACGGAAACTCTGAAGACTGAGAGGGTGGAAGGGACAGCTGGTGACAGGTAGGTCCACTATGGCAAACACCTAAAGAAACCTGCTGAGACACAGTAGGCTGGCAGGTTAATTTTTTACCTGGATTCCTTCAGACCAAGGGGTAAGAGGGCAAGTGCACTCATGTGGGACCTGCATGCATTCCTTGGGACTATCCTGTTATAACCATTCCTCTACTCCCTCAGGCCATCATTGACTCTGCAACCATTAACCTCCCCTGTTTCCCTAGAATTTGATGTATGTAGGGAACAATCTTGTCATGACCCAGGCTACACCTGGCTCTAGTCCCAATTCCGACTCTGCTTTCAGGCAGCAGATACATGTCCCAGCACCTTATCCCGGAATTATTCCACAAATATCAACTGTCTATGACAGTTAACTTCAGGCAATTGTACACTCAAGACAGCAGGAATATTGTGCAAGACAATTTCAGTACAATAATGGATTAAGAGTGCAATTGCATTATTTTCTCAACAAAACTTAGGTGTAACTAATTCATAGGTAGGGAGAAAATATTTCTCAAACAAGAGGGCATGGGTTTAAAGTGATCTCCATAAGTAGCAAAGATGAAGTGAGGAAAAACTTTTTCACTCAGTGAGTACTTTAGGGTATGGAATGCACTGCTTGTAAATGCGGTGGTGGCAGGTTCAATTGAGGCAGTTAATAGGACATTGGATGATTGTTTGAATAAAAGTATTGTGCAAGGGTATTAGGAAAATGCAGGATATTGGCACTAGGTAATGACGCTCATTTAACAAGCCAATGCAGGCACAAATGGGCCAAATGGCCTTCTTCTACAACATAACATTTCTGTGGACACTGGTTTTATGCTCAAGCATCACTGCACAAATCTCTTCAATCACTTGAGACATATCTGCTCGGACTTTGAGCTCATTTACATTTGACCATCCTTTGCTAGGTGAATTTCTTATGCTAATAATGTGGTAGCATAAATTTCAGTACATAATTTTAGATGTACAAAGGCCTAAAGTTAATTTGGTCTTGGCGTAACTGAAATATTTGGATTTTTACAATGACTTTCTTTGCTATTTCTCTGACTGAGACTGACACTTGAACAAAAGCATTCAGTTTTAGTGTACCCAAAATGTTTCAAACTCCACCACACTTAGCCATCATTCCACTGGATGATCTTCCCAGTGGGCATATTCCTGTTTTGAATAATAATGGGAAAATTGTTGCAGATGCAAGAGGTTCCAAGTATGAGACACCATGCCAAAAGACAATGAGAATCACTGTTAACCCCATAGACGGTGGGGCTTTTGTACTTGTTTTCTGCAAGTTTCTAGATTTAGGAACAGGCATTTGAAGTTTGCAGGAACTTTTAGCATAAGATCTGTGCAGAAATAGGCATAAGGTTTCAAATAGGCTGGATGTTAACTCTATTGACCCACTCGCAGTTTGGAGTGGGAAGGAGTTCGTTAGAGCATAAATGATCTCAGGGTGGGAATTTTCTACATGTGTAAATGTTAAAAATTTAGAGGGATATGATGACAGTGTGGAAAACTGATGCTGAGGTAGTAGATCAACAAGGATTCAGTTGAATGGCAAAGCAGGTTTTAGTTGTTGAACAGTCTACTCCTACTTCTATATGACATCACTAATTGAATTCCTGATGCAGAAGTCAGCCTGATTGACCAGATTGACTTCCTTTTTGGGAGGGTGCAGTCCAATGGAGCAGGGTAAATTCACCCCTGGGGTTCACAGGAGTTAGGGAGGGTGGAAAATTGGAGGCCTTGTAGGGGAGGTCTGAAGCGTTTTAGGGAAGGGTCTAGCAGTGGCAGATTGTCCACGCAGGGATGGTGGCTCTAAAAGTTGGGGGGAAATACAATTCCAATCTAAAGATACTTGTTTAGGTTTAGCTATGGAGTTACCCAGTGAGTCATTCTATGCAAAATTAAAATAGTGAATACAAACAAGGATCACACACATAATAATATTTAAAGGTGCCAACCCACCTTACAGCAGGCTCATCACTGGCCTAGGTGCAGTTCTGTTAAGATTGGACATGATCAAAACATGCCTTTTTTGAGACGGGAACCCAATGTTTCACCACCATGTGAAATTCAGTGAAGGTCAAGAGGTACATTTCAAAAAGTTTGGATTTCAGAATCTGATTTTGGGACGCAAAAACAGATAATCCTCATTCTCAAAAATTATGTTTGGTTTAGCAAATGGAGGCAAAACTTAGCATTAGGCCCAATTAAATGTGTAACTCCCTTTAAACATTCAAAGTATCCAAAAAAATTAACGAGATGTAGTTTGCACATCATGTTAGCATTTGATTCAGAGTTCCAGCATCCACAGTATTTTGCCTTTATTTTAGCCAGCCAGCTGTTTAAAATCCTTTTGAATCTAACTAATTTCAGACACACGACACGTACAAAACCATACCAAAAATATTCATAATTATGATAATCAAATTAAAAGAAATACACGAGAAGACAATTTTTCAGGCCTGTTCCTTTTCTCAAACTTTATAACGTAGTGATCTCAAAACTTCAGTTCTGCTCATTCAGATCACAAATTTAGAAACCCTTTTCTGGGTATGAACAGTGCATCAAGTATTTGCCAGTATCATTCCATTCTTGAAGCTTGATATTACCTAGATCAAAGCATAATCTTTCATCCCTAAACCTATCATTTTTATTCCACCTTCAATTTTGCACCACTTTGTAATCTGAAATTTGGAAAAAAATCTGCCTCTCTTTACTTGTTGCCGACTTTTCATTTTGCTGTAAAGTTTCATTTCTTTGTACACTGAGCACCATATGGAGAGCTATGTACATAGGAAATGATCGCATTATGTAGGAAACTAGCTCGTTGTGCTTCGTCTTCTTTCATTCGCACAATTTCGTTCTCTTTCAGTCGGACTTTTTCCAATAAAGAGCTAATTTCGCTCTCTTTATCCAACATGGCATCTCGGTGATTACTTGACTGTACTGAAATGAAAGAGGAGAACTTTATTTTCAATTCAGTCATGGACTCGGGAATCATTAAACAAAATAGTATTTTGGGGTGAATTGAAGTAAGCAATTAATGGTTACAGAAATTTCAGTCCCAAATTATGCTTCTCTTTTTCAGCACTGATAAGATTTTAATTTTTTTTCATTTTTATTCCAGGTCCTACTTGGTAATAACAAAAGTATAATGTCATAGATCAACTGATTATCAGCCAGCTGCACCATTATAGTGCTTTTTTGTTATCAGACATCAAAGATTTACTCGTTAAAATTTACCTAATACATTAAAATGTTTGAAAAACAGTTGCTCTACGCTTTTGATTTGGGCAAATAGTCAATGTACCCATATTGTATTTAAGAGTTTACCATTAATAGCTGACAAGAGAATACTTTTCAGAGGTTTCACAGTTAATAAAGCAAGTATTTCCGTTTGCATACCTTTCAGTTGTCTTTCTAAAGCTGAAATCTTCTCTTTGAGTCCTTCCTGTGCTATTCGTTCTGCATGCAGATGACCAATTTGCTCCTGGAGTTCTACCCGTACATTATTAACCTCTGCAACTTTCTCTTGGTCCTTACCAGATAATTCCTGAACATGGAATTTTCAGTGTTAGGAATTTTATTACACTTGGATTGCAATTCAAACAAGTCTATTCTAAGTAATTTCACAATAGTGAACATATTATGCACAGCATATTCTCCCGACATAATTACGGCCAGAAAGTTCTATTAAGGCCATATTGATTTATCATAAAAATGGCTAAGTAGTGGGAACATATTGTGCAGACTAATGAGATTGAGGTGGGCTAAATGGCTGCACTGATCTGTATTTATCTTATGTCAAAATGTTTTCTGATGAACATTTGAAAAGAAGATTGTAGAAAGACCATATTTCCAAAGTTATTAGCAATGCAACCTTTTCAGCAAAACATCAACAAAAGGGAAATCTTTGTCTGCTCAGGCAAACCTCAGAGGAAATTTTTCCTTGATCTTGATAAAATTCCAGGTCAGACCACCAGGCATGCATAACTGCTTTCCCCCAACACTCCATAAAGATATGCAATTAAGACAGACTTCTTAAAAAATATATTCCCTCATGAGATGTAGGCGCTGCTGGACTGGTCAGCACTTATTGCTCAGAAGGCACTTAAGAGTCAACCACATTGCTGTGCATCTGAAATCACATGTGGGCCAGGTAAGGATGGCAGATTTCCTTCCCTAAAGGACATTAGTGAACCAGAGGGGTTGCAACAATCGACAGTGGTTATGTGGTCACTAATAGGCTAGCTTTTTATTCGAGATTTTATTGAATTGTAAATTTCACCATCTGGCATTGATGGGGTTCAAATCTACATCCTCAGAACATTAGCCTGAGGTCTGGATTACTAGGCCAATGACATTGACACTATGCCACTGCCTCCGCCTGCAGCCATTTCCATCTATTAGGCCAATCCCAAAAATCACAGACTTCCTATTGTATCTTATCTTATAGTCATACAGTCATAGAGTCATACAACACGGAAACAGACCCTTTGGTCCATTACTGAGTAGTTGCTTCTGTTAAAGAATTTTGCACTGTACGCTTAAAATTTAGAAAGACATGTGATTCACTACTGTAGATGGCCTCGTCCCCATCTTCGCCACCCCTTACATGAGCCAAATTTTAACAAATGTCCCTTTTCCCAAATCTTGAAACATGTCTTTGTCTCCCATAGTTTAGGTTTTATTTAAAGGTGTACTGGAATTCAGTTTATTTAATCCCTTGAGAATTTAAATACCTAAATAAGATCGCCTCTAAACCATGCTAACTGTTAAACAGGTTAGAACCCTTACCGGATTGTTCATTATTTTTGTTTTATGCTTTTCTCAACTTTGAATTATGAGCTGTAAATGACCGATGGATTTTGGGACAGCTTGGATTTCAAAACAGAACAGACCGAGTAAACTTTTTTTTTTGAGGCCTGGCCTGGAGGCTAATTGCAGGTTGAGCCTTGATCAAAAGGTTCTAACAGACACAGCAACCCTGGGAAAGAGCACTGTGTTTAAACAGATGGCAGAAGTTGGCTATTAACGAGATCAACACCTGAGAATTTGCATCAGCAAGTCTGAAGGAGACCCTATGTTCAAGCAGATGGCAGCTGTTGAATGGTGACTGAGGCCTTGGAGAGAGTTGATCAGTCTATCAGGGCAGAACGAGAATTAATTTTGTATGTTACCTGAGAGGAAGTTCTGGAATGCTGCTGAGACAGCATGAAGATATGAAAGCTCCATGCCTAATCTGATATATTTTTTAAGCTCAAAGGGTAGAAAGCTGATTTAGAATTATTGCTGTCTTTGCTTGGGTGAACCAAGAAGGAGACACCCTGAACACTTCAGGAAAACAGCAGAGGGGTCCACAGTTATGTCTGTGAAACAACACATTGTGAAAGCCATTTTATGTAATCTCGCCAGTTCTTTTACTAATCCCTTAACTGTTAGTTTGTCTTTTGTGTGAATGGAGCTGAAAACAAATGTTTTGTGTTTAAAGCACAGACGTAAATCAGCTTACCGTGCTGTTTAATTTTTTCTTCTGCTAATGTTAATTGTTAATTTGTATTGTATTGTTAAGTCTTTTGTTGAAGATACAAAACTAGTGAACGAAAATGAATTAGTCCTAAAGTCTGGGATTTGGTACTCAAAAGTCTGGTTAGAAACCATAGGAGTGACTATTTGAGGGTCTTTAATGGTTGTTTTACTGGTGTTTTGCATAGAGGTAGAAAGGCAGCTTTGGTTCAACTGTGTGTTTCCATGCTGTAACAGATACAAGACTTTCCAATATCAGTGCTTTCTCATCACAGCAAAGGTATCAAATTCCATTCCTTATTTGAGTTGTTCTTATCTGTCTGTCCTTCAAGGATAGCACATCAGTTCTCAGATTTTAATTGACAGATTACACAGACAGTTTAAACTGATTTTTCGCACTTCTGGATTGCAGATTTTTTTTTTTTTAAAATTTTGCATCTAGTTTCATGACTAAAGTTTAACAGTTTAATTTGTAACCCTGAAGAACTGTTAAATTTCCATCCTCAAATTGGCATTTTAGTGTTAGTTTGGTTTAGCTCATTGTATGCCTATCTTGGAGTTAAGAAGGTTGTAGCTTTAGTTCCCAACACTAATGAGCACACGTTCTAGGATGACACCAAATACTGTACCGAAGATAAGCTGCATTGCTGGACAGGCTTTCAAATCTGACACTAAACTTAAGCTGTATCTTCCTATTTGTTGAAGAGCATGGAGCTTTCCCTATGTTTTGGCCACTAGTTAACCCAGACCCAACACTACAAAATAAAAGAAATTGACTAACCATTCCTGCATTTATTTGCCATTTGCAATGCATAAATTGGTTGCGATTGGAACCAGGTTGACCTCATTGACTATGAGGTCGTTGATTTCAGTTGTTAACCTGGGCCAATCAGGAAAGCCCTGGCTGACCAATATAACCAGGAGATTAGATCTCCTCAGTCAGGCAACTGAATTCTGAGCTGGCTGGTTATATCTAGTGTATTGTGAATAAGTAAATAAAGGATGACATAGTGATGGGATACTGGCCTCTGTGCAGTTATTTCAGTGGTGATAAGTGAAAACAGGATGTGCCTGAAGAACATTTACTTGCAACAGTCATCTTGGAGTTGGGGTAAGCATTTCAGGCATCATGCCTTTATTTGGAAAGCTTGACTCATTTGTTCCTGCCTGCAGTTGAAGGCTGGGCTCAGTATATGGAAAGAATGTGTTTATTTTTTTTTCTTTTCCCCTGGGCATATGACATTGGTGCAGATGAAAAGCAATGAGTAATCCTTCTGACTGCTTATGGACCTGCAACATTCTCAGTTATAAGGGGCTTAACTTTCCCAGAGGCTCCAGACACTAGAACATTCCAAAAGTTGATGGAGTTGGTCAAGGAATATTATGACCTCAATCATCTAATTGAGATGCTTTTGGTTTTATTTGACTGTTACAGAACCAGTGGAATCCATGTTGGGATTTTTGAGGCTGAGACAACTGGCAGAGGCATGTGATTTTTTTTTTTGGGTTAATACTGAGATGCTGAGAGACCATTTGGTATGTGGGATTAATGACGTAACCATGCAAAAGCACCTACTAGCTGAAGCCCAAGTTGACTTCAAACAGGCACTATAACTTTTTTTTTTTTTTTTTTAAAAAAAGAGCTACAGGGTATCCCTATAGAAGTGGACTCCCTCGCCTCTCTGACTAAATTTGGGGAACACCACGTGACTGCAGACAATCGCAGAGCATCATGCAGGACATATCCTAAGCAGAAGAACCCTTGGCTGGCCCACAGCAGAACCCCACAATAAAGCTGAGCCTTGGTCAAGCAGCTAAAGGTTCTTCAGGATCTGGGCCAGCAAGCCATAGTATTTGCTGCCAGTATGTGGACTGAAGACAGCAAAGGAGTCTTACAAGGCCTGACTTGAGTAAGAAAAAATTGTAGGCCAGTACCCAGGAGAGTTCACACCCTGGAAAGTCCCCCTGCATGTGGGTTGGAACAATTTGAATTGCTTAGTGACATCCAAATCGGAACTGATTTTCAAGTTAATGTTTGGTTAAATGGTCATCCAGTTCGTATGGAGGTCAATACTGGCACAGCTGTATCTGTGGTTGCAGTATTGGTCATTAATCAGATTCACCTGGGATTCCAACCCTTAAATTTGCACCTGACCAAGAAAATACACTGGGGAACCATTGCAGATTAAGGGTACGACTTTGGTTCCAGTCTCCTATGAGAAGCAGTTGGTACAGTTACCACTAATGGTAGTAAAAGGCTCGGGCCCAAGCCTATAGGGGTGGGATTAGTTGAAAAAGATTCACCTGGATTGACTCAACATTTTTCAACTTTAAAAAGGGGTGCCTCCATGAAGTCCCAGTGAAATACCCAGGAGTATCTCGGGAAGGACTTGGGACTATCAAAGGGGCAAAAGTCAGTTTACATGTTGACCAGGAAGCAATTCTGAAATTTTGAAAGGCCTGCCTGGTGCCATTTGCCTTGCAGGAGAAAGTAGAGGTGGAAATCGGGAGGCTGCAGAGCAAAGAAATCATCAAACCAGTGCAGTTTGCAGAATAGGCAGCATCGGTCGTACTGATTTGTGAAGCCTGATGGCACAGTTTGCCTTTGTAGGGATTTTAAGCAAACAGTAAACCACCTCTCGCAGCTGGATATGTCACTAACTGCTTCCCGAGAGGACTTGTACATAACGTTTTGGGGGGTGGGGGCACTATTCTTCACGAAACTGGACATGAGCTACACCTAACAGCAATTGTGACTAGATGGAGTACCAGAAGTATGCTGCAATTTAAACCCTCATGGGTAATTATCACTCTACAAGACGGCCATTTTCCAGTGTACCATGGGGAACATTTTACAAGGGCTACCCCAAGTTGCCATTTATCTGGATGACTTACTAATAACAAGGAAGACCAGTAAAGAGAACTTGGACATAGTGCTTGAATGTTTCTCTCAGGCAGGTGTATGCCTTGGAAGGGGGAAAAATAGTGTTCCAGGTTATACCTGTTGAAAGAAAGTGAGGGCAATCAAAAGGAGCCCTGCCTCTCACATCTGTACTGGAGCTTAGGTCTTTCCTTGGGTTAGTGAATTATTCCAGGAACTCGTACATAACCTGGCCTGCATATTGGCTTTCACCTGCTATTGAAAGGGTCTGTATCGTTTCTTCCTATACTGCTTTTATTAGTGTTCCTCTTGAATCAACAGCTCATTGCAGAATTAACAGCTCAGTACTCGGGAGGACTAAAGCACTCTACAAGTGGCTCAGTGTGAAATTTAACATTTCAGGACCAGTTGTAACATTAAAATTAGTCATGTTACAAATGCAACACTACTTAATACTACTTCTTTAATTTAAAGATCTTATGTCTACGCTACGTAAATTGCTCCAGTGTTAGCCACAAAATGCAAAATCCAAAACTGATAATCAGATCCTAAGATTATAAACAAGTAAATTGCACCATTCGAATTTACCTGAGTGAGTTCTTCAATGCGGCGCTTTAAACCTTCAACTTCAAAAGTAAACTTGTTATTCTTTGCTTGTAAGTCACTGATGGTTTGCTTTTGCATAGTACATCGATTTTGGCATTCATCACGTGACTGGCTAACGAGATGAAGTTTCTCTTCAAAGCTGACCAATCGCTCTTGCTAAAGTACAGAAGAAATTCAAGGATAAATGGAAAAATAATACTCAATTGCAGTGTTAAACACTGATTCTGGACTGATCACACTTTACCTGAAGTTACTAGGAAACAATCAGGTTGACATTAGTAGTGCATTGCTCTCGAACTAATTTCAGTTTCATCTTGATGGACACCAGTCTTCAAAGCAGTCCATCTTGTACATAGGGCACCAAATTACTTGTTTTTGTTTTTTTTTTTTTTTTTTTTTTTTTTTTCAAGAGTAACACTTTTGAAGGAAGGCTGAATTGTCCACGTCTTGTCTAAACCTGCACACATGCTCAGATCTGAATTTTGGCAAATTTAACACCCTTACGGTAAAAGTTTAAAGTTAAACACATGAAATGAAGTTCATGTTGCAGCTGAATTTTACTTTCCACTCCCAAATCTAATCAATATCTTCTCAGTTTACAGGTGTGATATAATGTATAAAAAAAATCAAGCAATTTATATGTTAACATGACCTGGAGTAGTGAATTAAAAGGAAAACATAGGACTTTCATGATGATATCAAATGAAGTTGGATCTGACAAATAAGAAGCATGGTGAAAAACTGTAGAACAATAGAGATTGCGGTGAAGTGGGGGGAAAAGGACAAAGGCAGTTGATGCAATAGATGTTGCAAAATGTGAGGTAATTAATTTTGAAAAGAAGGACCCAGAACTTTCTTGATCCCATTTACTCCTTTCAAGGCTGGTTTTTGCAGATGGAAATTACTCGTGTCCTTTTGCTTATGCCCAGAAAATGGCTTTGTGATGTCAATACAGAAATGATTATAGCACAGAAATAAGAAACTGTCTCTTCTTTGGAATAGTAGAATGGGCTGTCTCTCACTATCCAAGCAGGTGGTAGATATGGAGATAGTGGGAACTGCCAATGCTGGAGAATCTGAGATAACAAGGTGTAGAGCTGGATGAACACAAAGGTCCAGACCCGAAACGTCAGCTTTCCTGCTCCTCTGATGCTGTTTGGCCTGCTGTGTTCATCCAGCTCTACACCTTGTTATCTCAGGTGGTAGATATGGTTTTGTTTAACTTGTTGTCTGACACGTCTAGTGCAGCATGCCCTCAAGAAGCAACATAAACATTGTACGCCATTTTAAACAGGCTGAAGTTTAAGAGTATAAAACAGTGCTGGAGAAACTCAGCAGGTCTGGCTGCATTTGTACACAGAAACAGTTAATGTTTGAGTCCAATTATGATGATTCTTCTTAACTTAGTACTGTGTGCTCTATTATAGGGGAATAATAAAAGGTGCAGGTTTGATTCATTTGTTTGTGAACAAGGCTAGTTGGCTACAGTCACAAAGGACTAGGTAAATTGAGGATTTGAGAAATGAAATGATTTCTTAAAAGAACTTGGTTGTGAAAAATTACAACGAGGTAAATGATTATTCTCACTTTCTAATGAACAGGAACCAGGGAGCAAATATTGTAAACATGTCCTAAATTAAGGTTGTGAAAAGGTAACATAATTTGGAGATTATTTAAAAAAATAAATGCATAGAACTGTTAGAATTTGATTGCAAATAGGTGCCCAAAGAAGTTTAAGAATAAGGTGATTATGATTGGGCTCTTACCTCATTACTATGATATGACTGCAGAAGCAGTGATACAAAAAACAAATTCCTTCAATTATAAAATATACTAATTCTAGTAATTTTGCTCATTTTAACTTTGCAATTTTTGGTAGCCATGTAAGCCCCTGAAAATGTATGAGCTTTAGGATTAAGGATAGCCACTCAGTCTGTTTGAAAATTAAATTTGAGGTAGATTGTATAGTGTTTAAGGTGATTTGTGAAGCACTGAGCACAGTACAGCTTGCTAAACTAACATTTCCTCACTCCTTTTGGAATCTGTGTAGCTAGTCTGTTGAGAAGCAGACACAACTGAGATGTTAGACATTTGTATGATGTTGTACTACAAATAAAAGGCAATGAAATAATGTCAGAGCTATTATGCCATTAGTAGTCCACACAAGTCACTTGTATATCATAACTCCAGTAATCTGAACAGTTACAGCTCACAGTATAAGACATGAACAAGCATGAAAGGAGCAAAAACACTAGTAAAGAGGAAGTATTCAAAGGTTAATTATATTTGGCTTTTAGAAGCAGGAGCACTGTAGGAGAAAGGACCAGGGAAGAAATCAATTCTACTACTTTAAATGCTGAGAAGCAATTAGGTAGGATGGGATACAGTTCGATAAGTCTGGTGTTACAAAATTTTTGCGGCTGTCTTGATGGTGGATTTAGTGTCATTGGTTATTCTTGCATTTAAATGCTCAGGTATATGCAATGTTGCTCAATGTCTGAATATCAGTACAATTCCTTTGACCTCAAGGATATGCATGTCTTGCTTGTATGTTTTTCCAGCTTTTCAATAGGTAATACATTGAGAATACTTTTACAGCAAATAGAGTAACAGTTATCAACTAAACTTGTTCCATCCATCTTTCAACCTCTTCAAGAATATGAAATAAAAGTTAATCTAATTGATCCCAGGCTGGAGAACTAGCTAACTCTTGCTTTAGTTATCACAACATTCAGCCAGACAAAATTCACAAGGGCTGTTAGCCCCAGTTTTACAATTCATTGCCAAGGCCCTTTTGCCTCTGCAGGCCGAGTGGACTGACCAGACCTCAAGTGTTATAGCATTCTTTTTGATGCTCTGACCAGAGGGAACAGATGAGTTGTCCCTCCTAGATTCTTAATCACTGGATTTCCCATCAGGCTAGCCCATAAAATCAGTTACTTCCCTGCCACAAAAATGGCTTCTGAACAAATTACATTGGTCAATACCTGGGTGGAAGTCATTTCAACAGGGAGATTAAAAAATAAACATCGTAACCACTAGAGCATCAAACTTCCATGAAATACTATGGTGCTTAATCTGAATTTGAATTTATGGTTCTGAACTTGACTGTTTCATGAAGTTAACTAGTTGAGATCTGCATTAAATAAAATAAGAAAATTGTTAAAAGTAACATTATACTGAAACATGTTTTGGGGAAAATTGTCAAGTCTTCCAAATGGATATCTAGATTCGACATAATTAGGAATATTGGGGCTAATTTGAAATAAGGTTCAACAATTTAAAGTAGCAGTGGCTCAAAAGCCCAAATTGAGGAAATGAGAAAGGGATTATAGGCAATAAGAAAAGAGAGACAGAAAAATATGAAATTTGGAAAAGTATGAAGTCTTTGAATGCCCTATGTTTGTAGTTTTTTGTTACCTCCTCCAATCGAATTTGGTTCTTCATTTTTATCAACTCCTCTTCAGCTAGTGCTCGATGAGTTACAACAGATGCCTTTAGATGGCTCAGCTCCTGTCACAGAACACACTTTAGGATGTTAAGCTTAATTTCTCAAAACCAATTAAAGTTACTAAATGTACTCATTCAAACATGTTTAATAGCTGAGTCCCCAACTTTCCTAAAAACATACTAAACTTCAATCTCAAGGCAACAAAAACAACTGTTCAATGCTTTTTATAGTCATATTCTTAGTTACAATTCAGGTTTTCCCCAAAATTCATAATTCATACTGGCAAAGATAATTTCTGGAAACTTATGGTTTATAAACTTAAGATTTGCACCCTGGTGCACAACACACTGGACAATGTCAAGATTAGTGAATACCTTTATTAATAATGTTTTCCACCTAACAATTTAACTGTAAAAGATGATAAACAAAACACCATTTGGTTAATACTAATTACCTCTGGCAATCTAAGTTGTTTTTATTTCATTACATTTTAATCAAGTATAACTATTAAGAAAACAAGTTTGATTTACTACCCTGCAAAATGGATGGATTTTTTTACAAATTTGCTTTTTCTGAGCCTGTTTTTCTTCAAACTAGCTGTTTGCAATTGATCATCAAATTTATATGCATTCTGTATAGCATAAGATAAAATAGTGCAATAAAATCTGTATTGTAGGGCATAAGAGAAGAGTAATAGATGCCTCCTAAGCTGTGTCCATTGAAACATTTGTTATTTAACAGGCTGTGAAGCTGCTTTATGCCTTTAGCTTAAAATAAAGATCTCTCTCTTCCCTGGCATTGTGCACTGTATATCAGAGGATTATCACTTTTTAAAAAATGAGTTAAATTAATAATGCAGTTACTTTGCAGAGACTTCAAATATTGCTGCATGTATTAACTGGTGTTCATTAATTAAATCTAAATCGTACAAGCTCATTCAGCTAAAGTTGTTATCTTGTACATGAACATTGGCCATCAGATTCCTACCTAGAAATTACAGCCAGTGAGAAAATATCATCCAGTGGCATATTACATATGGTATAACACTAATACAGTAAGTCTGATATCTAAGAAGCATTAGTACTGTATTCCTAGATTGTAATCATGATTACTTGGAAATGAATCTCAATGAGCAGAGTTGGTTTTTCTTGTGAGCTACTGGGTGAAGTAGTATCTCCAAATTATAATGTAGTGCTTATATTCTTAACCAATAGTCCAATGTCTTAATTAAAAACCTTTTCAAAGACAGCTTTGTACTGTAAACAGATCCTTTTGGGAACTGATTGAGACTTTCAATCTCACTTCAATCATGATTCCTTATTTACTTCAAGTGATGTGTGCTTGCTTGTTCAATTGGGCAAATCAAATGCAAGACATTGCACCATAATGAATTATGGGATAGCAATAAACAGACTGATATGAATTTATATAGTAGCTTTCAGGACACTTCAATTAAGTACTTTCGAATGGTGTAATGTTTTAAAATAGAAGTTAGTATCTATTTACTTGTTTCATATTTTACCATGTAACTGTTGTTCACTCACTGTTTCTAGCTGAATTCTAATATTTTCAAGTTTCTGAATTCTGTCTTGCAGACACTGCTCATTCTCTTGCATCTGTAAGTTCATGTGCTCCACCTGAAAAAAGGCAGGACATAAGATGCTGAATGTTCTCCAATCAAACATCCTGCATTGTAAGTATACTCAGTTCTAACTGCCATATTTAGCATGACGTGAGACTTTACTCCTTTACTTAAAAGTGAGAAATGTGTTTCCTGTCTATAAAACACTAACAGGGGTTTTCACCATTAGTAAGACTACAGGATGAAACGTCAGGTCACAAGAACCAAGGCCCCTTCAGAGCTGTAACTGGCTTTTGACAGCTGCAAAGCCTGCTCACTTGTAAACAAGGAGCAGCAGACCTTTAGCTCCCTTGAGCCGACTTTGCTGTTTAAGTCATGGCTAATCTGACTAACTATATAAAATCAACATTCTTGCCTATCCTCATCTATCCACCTCTGCTTTTTTTTTTTAAGAACAAAACTTCCTCCTTCTGGCAGTGAGTATGGCTTAATCATGAGGCCAATTTCTTGGTACAACCACTTCAGACCAACTGGTCAATGACTCACCCCCACCTCCACTTTCATTCGGAGGTCACAAAGTCTGAGGCATTAAACTAGGATCAGATCTTAAAATTCAGGAAGCACCACTGTAACCTCTTTAGTCTGGAACAATGGGACCAAAAATTTTCTAGATTTTTTGGCTTTTCAGGATTACAGAATCATGTTAGAATGCCTGCCTACATTGGAAATAAAACACCACTGATATTACTGTTTTATGCTTTTGGTAAATATTTATAAGATTATAAAGCTGTAAGAGAAATTGTTCCCATTATCTACTCTATCCTCCAGCTTTGTCTGTGTTGTACTAAAACAATGCCATCAGTAGGTTGCTCAAAGAATTTCTCTACAACTGACACTGTAGATTTCTATAGATCTATTTCTATTGGATTTCCACATGAGGTTACAACGTGCAGCCACCTGCTGGTACCTATACTGAATCTCTAAACTAAAAGATTACCTTTGCCTACAGAAAGAATGACTGACCATTCTGCGTGACCACCAACCATCCTGGGCTTCACTGGACTGCTCATATTTTAAAAGGAAACCCCTTGATTACCACCTTCCCTAGTTAATTAACTCCTCCATGTTGAACACCATTTAGGGGAAGCACAGAGGGTGAAAAGGGTGCAGACTGTACAGAAAGTGATTTGGCAGCACCACAACCAATGGAGCTGGCAGAGTCCTGAAGGAAGTGTCGGTTAGACTGGACCCAAGACAAGTGGTGGAAGAACCAACAAGATGGGGGAAAAGAAAAACCATAACCTCATCACCATTCTGTATATATGTGAAGTTGACAATCTTGGTAAGAGTGACCAATCTTTGAAGTCAAAGTCCTATTTTCACACTGAACATACTCTATCATATTGTGTGGCACTACCACTTAGCTAAATAGGATAGATTAAGAACAGATCTGAGAGCTGGGCATCCATAAGCTGCTGCAATTCAGCATTAGAAGCAGAATTGCATTCACCAACTTTTATTGTTTGTTCAGGGGCTACAGGCTTCATTCGCTGAGCCAACATTTACTGCCCATCCCTTGTTGTCCTTGAAAAGGCTCTCTTAAATTGCTGCAGTTCATTTAGTGCAGTGTCCTCATGGAGGAAGTTTCAAAATATTGATTCAGCAACAATTACAGAACAGCAATATATTTCAGTCTGGGTGGTGAGTGGCTTGGAGAAGAAATGCAGGTAGGTGTTCCCACGTGTCAGCTGTCCTTCTAGACTGTAGTAGTCATGAGTTTGGAAGGTACTACTTAAGAAGTCTTGATGAATTTCTGTAGTTGATACACTCTCTGTTGCTACAGTATCTTGCTGGAGGAGGTAGTGAATGTTTCGATGCTAATAAAGCAGGCTGTTTTTTGTTCTGGGTGGTGGCAAATTTTCAAGTGTTGTTCATGCTGCAATCATCCAAGCAAGTGTGGATTATTCCAACACACACCTGACTTACTCTTAAATAAAATTGGTGGACAGGCTTTGGGCCGTCAGGAGGGGAGTTTCCCACTGCAGGATTCCTTGTCTCTGATCTTCAATTTAGTTCATGGTAAATGGTAACCCCAGGATATTGATAATGAGAGAATCAATGATAGCAATACATTGAATGTCAAAAGTTGATAATTAGATTCTTTCTTGTTGGAGATGGTCATTGCCTAGCACTTTGACACAAGTATTACTTGTCCCTTGTCAGCACAGGCCTGGATATGATCGAAGTCTTACTATATCCCATAATCTCAATCTGGGCATATCCCTCATTACAATCACCATCAAACTAAGGAATCAATTCTGCAGAATGCAGGAGGGCATGCCTAGAAGTAGCACCAAAAAGTTGTGCCAACCCAGTAAAGCTACAACTCAAGAGCAGACGCAGCGTGCAATTAAAAGATCTAAACAATTTTATATTCTAAGAACCAGTCATGAATTATGGAGGACAATTAACAGGAGAAGGCAGTTCCACAAATATTCCCATTTTCAATCAGGTGAGAACCCAGAACATCAGTGCAAAAGACCAGGCTAGAGCATTTGTAATCACCTTCAGACAGAAGTGCCCATTGGATGACTCATCTCCCCTTTTCCTGAGGTTCCCAGCAACCCAGATGTCAGTCTCAAAAAAATCTGATTCACTTCACATATAAAAAGAAATGGCTAAAAAGCATTGCAAAGACTATGGTTTTAACTACACAAGTGCTGAGAAATATGCTCAAGAATGGATCATGACCCTAGTCAAGCTGTTGCAGTATAGCTACAGCACTGGCATCTTCCCATGTAGAAAATTGTCAAGTTATGGCCTGTTCTCAAAACAGAATAAATCCAACCTAACCAGTTACCATTCCATTGGTCTACTACCAATCATCAGTTAAGTGATGGAACAAGTCACTGGCAGTGAAATTAGGCAGCAATTAAACAACAAAGACCTCATCATATACTCAGTTTAATTCTAGCAGGTTTTAGCATAACCACTTGGCTCCAGACATCATTGGAAGCTTGCCCAAACAAGGACCCAAAAAAAAAAAAAAGAACTGGTATGGGAAAGTTACTGTCCTTGAGATCCAGACAGCATGTGACTGGAGTGCAGCATCAAGGAGTCCTAACAAAATTGAAGTCACTAGGAATCCATGGGAAACCTCTCCTATGCTTGGAGTCACACTAAGCACAAAAGGAAGTCTGTATAGTTGTGGAATGCCAATCATCTCAATTCTGAGTCAGCACCAGTAAGAGTTCCTCAGATTAATGTCTTGGGTCCAAGCATTTTCAGTTGCTTCATCAATGATGTTCCCTTCATCATTAGATCAGAGTTGGGAATGATGGCTAATAAGAGCACTATGTTCAGTACCATTTGTCATTCATCAATACTGAAGCAGTCCATGTACAAGCTGCCATTAAGTAGTAGCACTGAAGGGACTGAATGTTCAAGATGTGAATGGAGTGCCAATCAGGTGGGACATTATCCCTCAATTGTACTGAGTTCTTGAATATTGTTGCAGTTACATTCATCCAGGAAGTAGAGTGCACTCCATTGCACATTACTCATTCACAATTCCCAGTCTCTGAACTGCTTATATAGCCATAGTATTCATATGGTCTGTCCAGATCATTTTCTGGACAATGGTGATGCATTGAATAACAAGGGGAGATATCTAGATTCCCTTGTTTTGAAATGGTCCTTGCTTAGCTTGTGTGGCATTCACATCACACAAATGCCAGGCAATGACCATCTCCAGTAAGAGACAATCTACGAGGAGCATCCATGAGGAGCGATGGGCTATTAAGAGCTGAATTATCATAGAATAGAATCATGGAATCCCTACAGTAGGCCATTCGGCTCATCAAGTCTGCACCACTTTTCCGAAGAGCATTCCTCCCAAACCCACTCCCATTCTGCACCCTATCCCTGCAACACTGCATTTACCATAGTTAACCAATCTAGCCAGCATATCCTGGGACACTATGGACAATTTAGCATTATCAGTCCATCTTTGGACTGTGGGAGGAAACCAGAGCACCTAAACAGACAGACAGAATCTGCAAATTCTACACCGATAGTCGACCGAGACTAGAACGAAACCGGAACGAAACCCCGGTCTGTGACGCTGTGAGGCAGCAGTGTTAACCACCAAGTCACCACGCTACCCTAATACTCCAACACAATCTGCAACCTCATGATCTGGGATGTCCCCAACTCAATCATTACCATCAACGCATGGGATCAACAATGGTTCAATGGAGAGTCCAGGAGGGCATGGCAGGAGCAGCACCAGGCATATTTAAAAAATGAACTGTCAAGCTAGTGAGGCTACTAACAGGACTACCTGTGTGGCAAACAGAAAAGCAGCAAGTAATAGACAGAGATAAGTGATCTCACAACCAACAGATCAGATCCAATCTCCGCAGTCCTGTCACATCCAATTGTAAATGGTGGTAGATAATTAAATAACTCACTGAAAGACGACACTGCACAATTATCCCTGTCGATGAAAGAGCCAGCATAATAGTGCAAAAGAGAAGACTAAAGCATTCACTACAATCTTTAGCCAGACGTGCTGAGTGGATTATCCATTTTGACCTCCTCCAGTGTTCCCTAGCATCACAGATGCCAGTCTTCACTCAATTTGATTCACGCCCCGTGATACCAAGAAAGGGCTGGAGGCACTGGATAATGCAAAGGCTGTGGGCCATGACAACATTCTGGCATTAGTACTGAAGACTTGAGCTCTGGAACTTGCTACTCCCCTCGTTAAACTGTTCCAACACTGGCATCTACCCGACAATTTGTCCTGTACACAAAAAACAAGATAAATCCAACCTGGCTAATTAACAAAATAAAAACCAAAAGAACTGCAGGTGCTGTAAATCAGGAACAAAATAAAAGTTGCTGGAAAAGATCAGCAGGTCTGGCAGCATCTGTGAAGGAAAAAACAGAGTTAACGTTTTGGGTCCGGTGACCCTTTCTCAGAACTGATGGTGGCTAGGAAAACATCAGTTTATATGCAGAAAATAAGGGAGGCGGATGGGGTAGGGAGTAAACGATAGAATAGAGCCTAAGAGAGAAGAGCAGTTGGACAGACAAAGAGTCGATAACAATCAGGCGGGAGGGTGAATAGTTGTTAAGTGGGACTATTAGTAACTAACAACAGGTAGTGTGTAATGGCAGGCCATGTGGTAACAAGGCCTGGTGAGTGGGGTAGGGGGCCGGGACATGGGAGAGTTTAGGCCCTAAAATAATTCAACTCGATATGGAGTCCGGAGGGCTGCAGGGTCCCCAAGTGGAAAATGAGATGTTGTTCTTCCAGTTTGCGTTGAGCTTTGCTAGAACACTGCAGCAAGCCAGAGACAGACATGTTGGCCAGGGAACAGGGTGGTGCGTTAAAGTGGCCACGAAACGTTAACTTTTTTTTTCCATCACAGATGCTGCCAGACCTGCTGAGCTTTTCTGTGTTCCTGGCTAATTAACACCCCATCAGTCTACTCTTGATAGTCAGTAGGTGTCATTGACAGTGCTGAGCAGCATCTGCTTAGCGACAACCTACTCCGTGGTGCCCAGTTTGAATTCTGCCAGAGCCACACAGCTCCTAACGTCATTACAGCTTTTGTTCAAACATTGGAATTCCAGAGTTGAGGTGCAAGTGACAGCCCTTGACGTCAAGGCCGAATTCACTGAGCATAGCATCAAAGAGCCCTGGCAAAACAGGAATCAATGGGAACTGGGGGGGGTGGGATTCCTCTGTTGGTTGAAGTCATACCTGGCACACAGGAAGATGGTTGTGGTTGTTGGAGGTCAGTCACCTCAGCTCGAGGACATGTCTGTAGGAGTTCCTCAGGGTAATGTCCTAGTCCCTACCACTTTCAGCTACTTCAACAATGACCTTCCCTCTATCTTAAAAGTCTGAAGTGGGGATATTCACCAATGATTGCACAATTCACAACTCCTCAGATGCTGAAGCAGTCCATGTTCAAATGCAACAAGATCTAGATAATATCCAGGCTTGGGCTGGCAAACGGAAAGTAACATTCATACTAAACAAATGCCAAGCAATGATTGTCTCTTATTGGAGATTATCTAAACACCATCCCATGACATTCAATGGTGTTACCATCACTGAATCCTCCACTATCAACAGCTTAAGGGTTACCATTGACTAAAAATTCATCTGGACCACCACATAAACAGTGGCTACAAGAGCATGTCGAAGGTTAGGAATACTGCAATGAGTAACTCATCTCCAGACTCCCCAAATCCTGTCCACTATCTACAAAGCACAAGAATACTCCCCACTTGCCTGGATATGTACAGCTCCAACAACAGAAAGCCTAACATTGTCCAGGACAAGCAGTCCACTTGATTGGCACTATAATCGACAAGCATCCACTCCCTCCACCACCGAGGCTCAGTAGCAGCAGTGTACATTATCTACAAGATACACTGCAGAAATCACCCAAGGTCCTTAAGACAGCACACTTCCAAACCCACGACCACTTCCATTTAGGAGGACAAGGGCAGCAAATACCTCTGAACACCACCAACTGCAAGATTCCCTCCAAGCCACTAACCATCCTGACTTAGAAATATATTGTCATTCCTTCACTGGCGCTGGGTGAAAATCCTGGACTTCCCTCCTTAAGAGTATTGTAGTCGACCCACAGCGCGCACATTGTAGTAATTCAAGAAGGCAGCTCACCACCACCTTCTCAAGGGCAGATGGAGACGGTCAACAAATGCTGGCCAGCCAGCGATGCCCATATCCCATGAGTAAATGAAAATGTTACATGCCATTTATCAAGTCAAATCTGAAATGTTTTCAGCATTGTATTTTGAATTTTTTCCTGGCCTCACTTTTGATATAATTTCGTAATTATCTTGTACACAGCAGTCACCCCATTATCTACTTTCTCAAATCTAGCATTTAATTTTCTTGTTAATTGCTAATGTTGCAATGGACTTGACATTGTATAACATCATTATATAGTACAGAAGCTGACGTAATTGAACTTTTTAAATCAGGCAGTAGAAATAAAATTTTGGCTGCATCTGCAGTATTAGAAAGAGAGTGCTGGAAATGATGGGGATTAATATAATGCATCAAGGTGTCCTAAGTACCACTGAACAGAAGAAAGTCCAGGTTACCTCCTTCTTTCTTAATACTTCTGAATCATCCAGGAGTTGCTTAAATCTCTTCTTCTCAACTTCAAGGCGCTCTGACAGTTCAAGAAAAGGGAAATGTAATAATTAACTTGAAACATATGATAAAGACTTCAGTCTGTACAGATAAGCATACTTTAACACATTTTAAATCTGTGCATAAAAATGTCTAATTTTGCCAGTCATCGCATTTCATGTCATTTTGTTTTGAATAAGGATTTCACAGATTTCAAGAATTTGAGGTTAAACTGCTCATTAGAAACTTATTTGCTATTCTTTCACTAAACTGTGTCTCATACTTCAACTAGTTCTTCAGCTAGGAAGAGGGCATAGCCTCAAGATTAGAGGGAGCAGATTTAGGACTGAACTGAAGGAATTTCTTCACCCAGAGGGTTGTTAATTTATGGAATTCCTTGCCCAGTGAAGTAGTTGACGCTACTTCAGTAAATGTTTTTAAAAAAAAGGTAGATTTTTTTTGAACAATAAAGGAATTAAGGGATACGGTGAGAACGCGGGTAAGTGGATCTGAGTCCACGAAAGGATCAGCCATGATCTTATTGAATGGCGGAGCAGGTTCGAAGGGCCAGACGGCCTACTCCTGCTCCTAGTTCTTATGTTCTTATATCTTCAGCTAGCTTTGCTGCATTGCCACTTCTGGTTGAGAGATTTAAATTACCCTCACCGTAAAAATTACAAAAGAACAAACAATTGCTCCCACAAGCAAGTTGCCAGCATAACTATTGGTCAACTACATTATTGATAAATGCTGTATTGAATCAGTGAAATTTTAAGAATGTGAATACTTTAAGATTTTAGTGAACATCTTTTATGTCTTTAAACTGGTAGTCACAATATAAAATTGTAAATTGAGAAAAACCATAGTGGTAACTACCTAGAAAAGCAGTAAAGCATCCAAGTACATGGCAAATTATAGTGATTATTGTTCAGTTCAAAATGCACTTTGAGATGCATTATACAAAATCTACGTGCCATACTAACACACTGATCGGACACAGTTCTAATTTATAAAATTGTTCCTCACTGAATGGACTCTGAAATTAGAATATATTAACTAGTCAGCTGAATAGTAAGAGTCATACAGCACAGACTTTTCAGTCCAATCAGTCCATGCCAGTTTCCCCCAAACTAAACTCGTTACACTTGCCTGCATTTGGCTCATATCCCTCTAAACCTTTACTACTCACGTACCTGTCCAAATGTCTTTTAAGTGCATCTACCACATCCTCTGGCAATTCATTCCACATGCAAACCACCCTCAACTCCATTCCTGGCAACATCCTGTTTTTTTTTAACCCTCTCCAATAGAATGGCGACCAAAACTGTACGCAGCACTCCAAAAGTGGCCTCACCAACATTCTGCATGACTTCAACATGACATCCCAACTTTGATACTCAATTCTCTGAGCAATGATGGCAAGCATTAAGAGAATAAATTATTCTTGTAAATTCTTCAAGAATATACCCAGATGAAAACGTTCTTAACAATCGTTCCTTATTGGTTTTATCAAAGGCTTCAATATTTCATCATTATTTCTCCTACAAAAATTCAAGTACTTTTGCATTTTCAGTGCTAAGAACATTTTGAATCATTCAACGGAAGAGAAGAGTATACTCTTGGTTACAAAGATACAGTCACTGAACAGTCATTTGTTTCACCTCTGAACTCCCTTAACGTTTTGATACTTTATAATTCTATTCACCAATAATATGTTTAAATTTCAACACTTTTTATATAAGTGAGTGTTGGACCTAATGGACTAGGAACCAAAGTTAACTGGCCCTATCTCAGAAGATTTAATTTCAGAATTTTGTTTCTATTTTATAGGAAGTTATTGATGGAACTAAGGATACGTTAGAAAGATTTTCAAATTTCACACAAGATTTCTGCAAACTTAGAATCTGTGCAAGAGTTTTTGAATCTAGATGATCCAAATTCTGCTGCATTCATCAGCATATTTAGTTTAGTCTTTTACTGTGGCTAACTAGCACATTCCAAGATGGCAGCAGAGTAGGGCTCCTCAGCCGGGGCTCATCCACTCCATCCGTTTCTTTCCTTTTTTTTTCTTATTTCGTATTTTTATCCCCTTCTTTATTCTTACCTCCCGCCCTTGAGCATCAAGAGAAGTCACTGTGGACTCCCAGCCTCGAAAGCTGAGGTGAAACCACAATAGACTCCCAGCCTCAGCGAAGACTTCTAGCCTCGAGGTGAAGCCTGGTGCCAGTACGGTCTGGTTGGAAGGACTGTTATTCTGAACTTTTATTTCTTTATTTTTCTAATTCTTTTTCCTAAGAATATGTACTTAAGACTAAACTAAATATGCTGATGTACCTTCGTACCTAAGACGGTGCCGTAAGTGGTAACTTGTAGACTTTTCACTATACTCATGTGAGTTCATGTGATAATAAAGCTAATTCTAACTCTAATGAAATTCTACTGCATAAAATAATTTGTCTAACTTCCTTTTTATCCTATTGGTTACTTCTTTTTCTCATCTAAATATTCCATTTACCAATAGCCTTTTAAAATGGAAATAATTCCAAATTGGCCAAATTTCAAATACCATAGAATCAGAGAGTTGGATAGGAATCTTCTGCTGGAGGCCACCATCTTAGAAATAGACTTAGGTTTCAACTCATTGACCTAGAGCTCATTCTGGCTCCTATCCAAACCGCAGCCTGATACTGTCAATGATCTATAACTCTTACATGCACAGTCTGACCTGAATTCCGATGTACAAATTTTTTACACATTTCTCCCATCTTCACGTTAGCACGGGACGCTCATCCACTCCAAACTACTAATCCCTGTCCCATCACAATTCCTAATCTAGAATGAGTATAACTGTAAACCTTGGGATTGGCCTGTGGCATCTATTTGGATGCTTCTTTCCAGACCCTCAATCCTGCAAGTGAATTTGTGAAGATGCACTTTGGCAGGAGTGTCCAACTGAAGAAGCCAATGGATCACAAATAATTCACATCTTGGCAATCTAATCTTTTAAGTTTAGGCAATTCAGTTCTACTTAAAATTATTTTTTCCTTCACTGCTTCATCTGGTTTGAATGTTGTGGACCTGGAGGTTTAAAAGAGGCCATCCTTATTACTGTGAACATGGTTGTGCAGTCACTTCAATCTCATCAAACTAGCTAATTCAGAGGTGCCTTCCACATTGTTTAACTGAGATTTTCTTCTGGTGGTTCAGGCAGCTACTTAATCATAAGCTTTTATTTCCTCCCCAAACATACTCAACACTAAGTCAATTCTTAAGCATCATATTTAATGAAGGAAGTAAAATCAATCTACTGTTTTATCTGCAATAATCATAAGGATTTTGTATACCTTTTCATCAGCTAAAGATAGGACGATATTTAAAGAAACAAAACTAAATTTCACTGTGAAAGTTATAACCTGTGGCACACACTGTTCATTGACAATCCAACTGGATTTATTTAAAATTATTACTCTGAGAAACAGTTGCTTCATCATTAGGAACCAAGTACAAATTCAAATCAGACTGCCCATATTCATTTGCTGTTAGTTTTAAGAGTGCTATATTAAATTAATATTACACATCCTCAACAGTTCTGTAACAATACAAAATCCACACATTGAAATTACCAAATTGTAAATAGTAAAAAAAGAGGGTGGCTCTGTTTCTAATCATGCTATATCTTTGAACGGAGCACTTGGTGGAGACAAATGGTAAAGGTTTTTTCCCCCCAGGACAGCATGTTAATCAATCACTGCCCATAAACTGAAACAATCCCAAAGTAAGAATCTACTAAGTTGATAGTTATCAGGCAAATGACTTTGTAAGGAAGTAACGCACGGCACAATAAATGTTAGAGAATTCGAAAAGAATTTTAAAATCCTCTCCCGATTTGTTGATCCAAGAATCTTTATACTTTGTTTCCTGCATTTTTAACGCAATCCAGTCGCATTTATCTGAGACCAATATTAAAACAGTTATATATCCGCTGTTAGGTTGTTCAGCAATTGAACAGCTGAAGCATTAGTAAATTTGAATAGTAATGTTGTTGTCATTTATGTCCTATTCTTTCAGTTTTAATCTAATCCACTCTTCTTGTTACTGGACTACCCAGGTATAAAAATTAGATTTTCTTCCATTTTTAGTTTATAACTACACATACAACATTAAAAAAAATCAGAATATACGAAATTACTGCCGAATCTGAATGTAGAAAATACACTGCATCATTTATACAGATTTTTGTTTTGCACATTGAACAATACTTTTCAACAATTCATAGATTCATAGAGCAAGGCCAATGGATGGCAGGATTGAATTATGCCCGCAAATATGCCAGCTGTATTTGCGAACATGCAAAATCTTATTTGCATTGAACAATGATTTTATGTAATTACTCTCAGTTTAAATTCTGAAAGTATACCAATTCATCAAAGCTGAGATGGTTTCTTTTTGTCATTTATATAAATGACTTACATTAGAGGTGTGGTTAGCAAGTTTGCAGAGGACACCAAAATTGGAGGTGTAGCGGACAGCGAAGAAGGTTACCTCCGAGTGCAATGGGATCTTGATCAGATTGACCAATAGGCCGAGGAGTGGCAGATGGAGTTTAATTTAGATAAATGCGAGGTGCTGCATTTTGGAGAGGCAAATCAGGGCGGGACTTATACAGTTAATGGTAACACTCCTCCTGGAGACTGTTGCTGAATAAAGAGATCTTGGAGTGTAGGTTCATTATTCCTTGAAAGCAGAGTCATAGGTAGACAAAACAGTGAAGAACGTATTTGGTACACTTGCCTTTATTGGTCAGTGCAAGGAGTACAGGAGTTGGGTGTCATATTGTGGCTGTCTAGGACATTAGTTAGGCCACAATTGGAATACTGCATGCAATTCTGGCCCGCCTACTATAGGAAGGATGTTGTGAAACTTGAAAGGGTTCAGAAAAGATTTACAAGGATGTTGCCAGGGTTGGAGGGTTGAGCTACAGGGAGAGGCTAAATAGGCTGAGGGGTGACGTTACAGAGGTTTATAAAATCATGAGGGGCATGGATAGGGTAAATAGACAAGGTCTTTCCCCGGGATAGGGGAGTTCAAAACTAGAGGGCATAGTTTTAAGGTGAGAAGGGAAAGATTTAAAAGGGACCTTAGGGCCAACTTTTTTCATGCACTGTATGTATGGAATGAACTGGCAGAGTAAGTACAATTACAACATTTAAAAGGCATCTGGGGATGGGTATATGAATAGAAAAAGGTTTAGAGAGATATGGGCCAAAGGCTGGCAAATGGAACTAGATTTATTTAGGATGTCAGGTCAGCACAGATAAGTTGGTCTGAAGGGTCTGTTTCCATGCTGTATATCTCTATGACTCTATATGTTGATCTATTATTTGCATGCTACTTGAAGTCAATCATAATAACCTGGCTTTTGTGTCACATCTTTCTGTGATAAACACGCAGGAGGAGAATATGTACATATATCTGATGAATTGAAGGGCACCAGTATGGGAACTGATTTGGATCAAGAATTCCTACAGGATTGATACATTTAGAATAAATTGAGTGCTGCATACTGCTGGTATTCATTCTTCCACAGATTAGTTTTAAAATGGGGACAAGTTTGTAAAAAATGGGCATTAACATGCAAGATATTAAACTGCATCCCATTAATAGCAGTTATTTCATGAGCAGATGCTGAACAGACAGATATCCAAATGTTGAATCAGGCAGCAAAAGACTTCGAGATTTAGAGATTTTAAATCTTATAGTTTAGCACAAATACCAGTTTCCACCTCATTCTTGTTTCACCTTTCTAACAGAAAGCCATACCCATGTTTTTTTTTTTTTAAAAATTAACAACCCATCACTAAATCACTCACTCTACCAAAGAATCCAGGTCTGCTTATTTTAATCAATCTGTTTAGACATATATTTTCACACCTCTAGTATAGGTGGGACGTGAACCCAGGCCTTCTGGCCCAGAGCTAGGGGCACTGCCACTGCACCACAAGAACCAAGTTTCTTTTGTGACCCACCTCTAAATTACCTGTTTACTGAATTAAACAAAAATTAGAAGCCCTGCCCACCTAGGCACTGCAACAAGAACAAGAAGAAAAGGGTAGAGAAAGAGGGAGGGGCTAAATCAGAATGGAACTGGAGGGGAAAATAATGCCAACCAGCTCTGCAGTGTCCACCTCTCCCTAAATGCATCAAAACTATTGGTGAACAACATGAGCTCCCTCTCTAAGGGCACCCGGGAAAGAATGCAGACACAAGAGAGGAAGGCAGTAATGAAGAAACAAGTTCATTTTTAAAAAATTAAACTACCATGTAACATAACTAATGGGATAGAATTCAAGTCCCATCTGCTGCAGAGATGTGTTATAAAAACTCTGAACAGGTCAATTAGAAAGCAAACAAGTGAATTGGAATTATTTCTCCACCCAGTTCCATTCTGTTTGAGCCCCTCTCTCCTGGCTCAGAGGTAGGGTCACTATCACTGCACGAGGATATATTTCTAATCAAACTGCTCAGAGTTATTCTTACATACCCGTGGAGCAAGAGCAGATTGAACCCAGACCTTGCAGCTCAGAGGTAGGGACACTGCCACTGTACCACAATAAAATATCCAATGAGCATCATCTGTTCTCTAACTCTGAAGCGGTTGACCCTCTTATGCTGCAGTAGTAGTGTCCCTATACCTGGACAGGAGGCTTGGGTTCAAGTTCCACCTGTTCCAGAGGTGTGTAATAACATCTATGAACAGATTGATTAGAAAAATAGGTTGATCCTTAAAGGGAGAGGTCTTATGGTAAACTGATAGGGTCCCTACCTCTGAACCAGGATTCAAGTCCCACCTGCTCCTGTTGTTATGTATAATAATACCTCTGAACATGCTGATTACAAAACCGTGACCCTTAAAAGGAATTTGTATTTCTAACACTGACACAGGTTGGGACTGTATAACTCACTAGCTTCAGAGAAGGTCTTTGAATGCTTCACGTTAAGTTTAAAGCAAATTTAGATCACAGAAAATATTGAGTTACATCAGGTCAGTAATTAGTAAGGTTAGAGAACAAATAGTTGTCTGTTTTATTTTAAATTCAGTAATGAAAGTTTCCTTTTACAAGTATAAGGAAAGAGGAAAGCATTGCTGGAACTCTTAAGCTAGGTGCGGAGATAGATCTGTGTTTCACTGGACTTACTGAATTATAGATAGGCCACAAAGGATTTTTCAATATGCACCTATTTTTACCTTGTACCACGAAGAAGTTTTGTTATGCACTTGCCTCACAAACTAAAAAGCAGAAGATAAATTATATACAATCATGGATAACCATAATCTCTTTTATAAAGACACTGAAAATACAACTTCTCCAATTATTTCTCTCAAGATTCAAGTTAGATTACCCTCAGTCTGGACTATTCTCTGCTTCATCTCAGCAGTCACATTGACCAATTCTTGTTTCAGGTGGCAAATCTGATCATGCTGGACTTTACATCTTCGCTCCAATTCATCCATCTGTTTGACAAGCATACAAAATAAACATCTGCTATAAATTCAGGGAGTGACATTGTAGGTGAAGACTATGCACCATCATTGCACTGCTACATTATTTAGAAGAAGCAGTTTTGACAAATATAAATTTTGATGACTGAAGTAAAACAATAATTTAGTTTTACATGCAGACAATTGGTGTATTTTCCTTTGACAAAGATCTTTGGATACAATGCAACTGCTTTTAGAAAGTTTTAAATCTTCCGTATGAAGGCACAAAAAGCATTATTTAGGAAATGCCAATCTAAAAGATTAGTGGAGGTTCCAAATCCATGGAGTTAAATCATCATGAGAAGCCAGGTCTCTATCTCGTGCCTCAGAACTGACCATGGACATGAGCTGCATCCTTTCTCAACATCTTGCACAATAACAGCTGAAAACAGGTACTTTCAACTCCATTTGTTTCAATAATTATATACTCTTCTTTTCAAGCTTCAATGGCTAACTGAAAGAAATTTGCCCTTCAAAATATATTTGACTTTCCAAAAAAGAACAATGATTTATGTGATTTAAGATTTCAGTGTCACAAAATTGGTGTCTGGACAGAAAAAAAAAGGGTAAAGCATGGACATTTTGTTTCTGGCAACTCAGATGACAGGGTGATAATGAAGGGAAAAATGAAAGAGACCCTGTGGATTACAGAAATGTAACTTATTCATGGGCGCAATTAACATAGAAAGCAAGTGTGGAGCAACTCATGGATACACACCAAAGAGACAAAAAACTCAGATAACACATTGTTGTCCTTCCCCATCAACCGCATACAGGCATTAACCAAGTACTTAAAAGCACCTGGAGTTGTTTCTCTGGAGCAGTGGACGGTGGGTAATGATTGAGAAGCATAATATGGAGGGGCACAGATAGGGTAGACAGGAAGGAACTTTTTTGTTTTGGTGGAGAGATCAATGACCAAGGGCATAGATTTAAGGTAAGAGGCAACAGATTTAGAGGGGTTGAAAGGAAATTTTATTTTATCCAGAGGGTGGGAATCCCAGAATTCACTGTCTGTAATGGTGGCAGAGGCAAAAACCCTCATAACATTTTATTATTTAAGACATAAACATGCAATGCCAAGGTATACAAGGCTATGGAGTGAGTTCTGAAGAATAGGATTAGAATCATTAGGTGCTTTGTTTTTGACTGGCACAGACTCCGAGGACGGAAGGGTCGTTTTCTGTGCTGGGGGCTTCTATGACTCTATTACCTGAAAGCCTAAAAGAGAACAAATAGAGATACAAAACATTTAATTTCACATTGACAATATGTTCCAAATTAATATCTTCATGTACTCACCAAGCAAACAAAACAATCCTAAATCACATCTTTCAGTTCTGCTCCCCATGTTGTTTCATTCCCTATTCCATCTTCCACCTGAATCTAAATTAGGAACAACAACTAGAGCTTGGAATATCAATAACTAGCTAAAAATGTTTTTGATTCCTTAGAACACTTTGGGACACATTCCAAAGTTCTCACTTTCCCTTTTGAACATTGCAATACAAGTTTGAGAGCCAGGAAAAGGTCTTATCTGAGTAAACTTGCACGTAATTTATGTAATAAAGTGTAAGCTTCAAAAATCCTAGATCCAATATAATTTAGTGCAACTAATTATTTCAGGAAGAGGATTTTTTTTTTTTTTTTTTAAAATTTATTTGTGGACAAAATGTGGCCATTGCTGGCTATGCTGGAGGTGGTAGTGGTGAGAAAAAAAAAAGTGTCACAGTTTTAAATGTTCCACAAATTTTGCACAGTAACAGTTAACAGAATGTCTCAATTATGAAAACGGTATTTTTATTTGTCTGCAAGAACATCCTAGCCAAATAGATGTATTCCATAACACATCCAACATGCAAACTTAATTTCTCATACCTGTAGACAATCTGATGGAAAGATGATATGTACCTTGTTTTTGAGTTCCATGTTTTTTCCATTTGCTGCATTTAACTCCCTAGCCAGCTTTGCTTCTCGATTACATGCTTCCTGATGGGGAAAACACATTTCTTCAGTTTATAAATTTTTGGTTAGGATAAAAGGCCAAGAATCAATTATACCACTTTCAGATACATTTTCTGAGAGATTAGTAGTGATTCCTCTAAAAAAATACAGGTTAGGCTTCTTAATGTTCAGTGCACTCAATATACATGGGGTACATCAAAAATGTCTTGGACCTGATCAGTAAATTTAAAAATACTCTGTAGCAGGAAATAGACAGGTGTTCCAGCTGCATATTTTCGGAATTCACTTGAAAATGTCAGCTGTAGCAGCAGCTGCAGGAACCACAGTACGCATTACAATCTTTGGAATGTTTCCGCCCACTAGAAACCTTGAAAATTTGATCCCTTCCAAATGGTTTTGATTTTTACATTTGTGCCAATTAACAGGCACCCAATGCATTAAAATGTTCAATTAAAAGCACAAAATAAATCTAAAGTACTGTTCAAGTGGGAAAGGTTATAGTTCATGATCAGATTTGAAATGCAAGCATTTAATTGATACACACACCATGTGCCAACATGACAATTTTTCACTGCGGTTCTAAAGTTTTAGAACAATAAAACAACTATGCTCTCAAACATTGAGGCCTCAGGTCACTGTGATCAGGCTTATTTTGTACTAGAAGCAGAGCACAGGAGGAGGCAATTCAGGCTATCAGGCCAGCTTAGTCCTTTGAAAGTGCTATCTAATTAGTTTAACTTGTCTGTTCTTTACCTATTGCCCTTAGAATGTTTCCTTTTCAATGGAATATATTTTTTCCAACTATTTTAAATTTGTCAGGGCACACCTCTGTGGCTATCACTTCCTGGTAGGGAAGTGAGGAGGGTTTTAAAATGTGGACCTTCTGGCCCAGCGGTACAGACACTACCACTGCAGAGTAAGACCTGAGTCAGTGTTCAAATATAAAGGAGGAATGCTGCATTAAACATTTCACTGAAAGACAAAAGTGGGATTTGAACTCATCCATTTCAAGAATTAGTAGATAATAATGGGTTAAGTGGCCACTTGATCCATCTGACTATTCACAACTCAGCTGGAAGTTATTTTGTACAAAAATGTACATAGTATTGTTCAAAGTTTTACAGGACAAAGAAACTAATTTCAAAATATTTTTCCTAATAAATCTGTTCAGAGATGTTATTACACACTTCTAGAGCAGGTGGGACCTGAATCCAGGTCTCCTGGCTCAGTGGTAAGGACATTGCCACTGCACCACAAGATCCCTGACTATGAAGCCAATTGCTCATCTTATCCCGTGTATATCGTCTGCTGGCCAATTACCTGGAGATAACAACATCCCCAACAGCTCCAAATCTTTCAAATCGCACAGTGAATGTTTTTTAAAGGCACCATTATTACCTCTTGCTCTTTCTTAAGCTCCTTTGAATGTCTCTCTTTTAATGCAAAATTTTCCAATTTTGTCTTCTCTAAGAGCTCTTTCAGGTTATTTGACTTTTGTTCTGATAATGTTAAAGCAGCATCTGTCATTTGCACTCTAGAACAGAATAAAATGGAAAATCTATTTAAGGCAGTAATGAAACAGAATGCAACAAACTGATTTATACTGATTAAGCAACTTGAAATACATAGCAAATGAAAGAAATTAGCACTGGTACGCTTAAATGTCACACAGTTTAAAACTGTAAGATATATGTGCATAATGAATGGAATCCAATTAACAATAGCAAGTCTCCTAGCCCCAGTAACAACATCTCACTTTCAATGCATTTGTATTGGAGCAAACCAAAATTTCCAGAAGAATCCAAGGACGTGTAGGAAGAACACATTTAGGCTGCTGTACTTTGGTCTTTCCTGTTATATGTATATGACATAAAAATGATTACAGAATACAGTAACAAAATCGATGCCAAGCTCAAAAGAATAAATTATGAAGAAAGATTTAAACATTTCAATGAATGTAAAGCTTAAGTGAATGGGATGGAAGAAGAAAAGGGGCCTTCAAGTGTAAAATGATAGAAAACACTCTAGATTACAACTTCAAATACACAGTGAAGAAGCATAGGAACAGAAGACATAAATGTGAATTAGTTAAAAGTAAGTTTATGGAAAAAGCAAAAAAAAAAAAAAAAATCCTTTATGCTCAAATAATAAGCTACCAAGCAAGACTGAAACATAACTATTAAGTAATGCAAAGTAAATTTAGATGTCATGGTGAGAAAAGTAAGGAATGAAAAGAATGACATTTGATGGTCAGAATGGACTTTACTCATTCCAAAAGATTTTCTCAAGTCAATCCACTACAGAAGCACAAGTGCATAAGCTATTTATATTTGGAAAGAAAAAGCAAACTCTTGCATTAAAATAGATGGCTTGCAAAGCTGTGAAATCACACTGGCAAAATTATACATTTTGGTCATTTACTGGAGAATGTAATTAGCCTAACCAAATTTCTGAGAAATAACTAGGGTGTTATTTTTAACTTCTCAGCATGAATCACTCCAGAAGAGAAACAACCTGCTACAGGAAGGATGTTGTTAAATTTGAAAGGGTACAGAAAAAATTTACATGGATGTTGCTGGAACTGGAGAGTTTGAGGTATAAGGCAAGGCTGAATAGGCTGGGCCTTTTCTCCCCTGGACCGTCAGAGGATCAGAGATGACTTTATAGAGGTTTATAAAATCACAATAGGCATATATAAAAGGTGAATAGCCAAGGCCTTTTTCCAACGATAAGGGAGTCCATAACTAGAGGGCATAGGTTTAAGATGAGAGGGGAAAGATTTAAAAAGGACCTGAGGGACAACTTTTTACACACAGAGGGTGATGCATGTTTGAAATGAACTGGCAGGGTAAGTGGTAGAGGCGGTTATAATTGCATTTAAGAGACATTTGGACACATACATAAATAAGAAAGGTCTGTTTCCGTGCTGTATGACTGTATAATTCCATATATCAGGAACAGTAGGAATTTTGTACTTCAAGTTATGTAAAGTATGTTAAACATTAATTTTAAACAGGACAATCATTGCAATGAAACAACAGGAATGGTCTGTTGTCAAAGGAGACTGCAAAAGGAACAGAAAACTTAACTGAAAAGCTGCAGCCTTTCCAAGGTCACACAGAGTCAAAATGGAGATATTCTGCAGTCATGTTTAGTCTTTCCAGTGTAGAAATGAACAGAATATGAACAATGAATATAAGATAACTGCAAATGCTTCTGTCCAATATCAACTGGATTGACACATTGATTCAAAATGAATTTGATCTGTTTCAAGCAAATTTTGAAAAACATGCCTGCAAGTGGACTGTAGTACTTTCAAACACTATAGCACCCATAGACAAAATAAATCTTACTTTGCTCGCAAAGAATTGATGATAGAACTCTTCTCAGTTAGTGCTTCCTGTAGCTGTCCAACTTGCATTGCAGCATTCCTAAGGAGAAAAAATTATTGAAAATACATTAAAAATCACCAAATATCAATTTCACTTTAGAGGTGGCCAAATCATTGAAAATTTACAGAAAGACAAGAATTAAAGTTGGATTAAAGTTGAACATAGAATGGCTGTTATAGATTTAGTTTAAAATAAAAGACTTATTCTTACACTGTATGTCAATTTCCTCCAATAAAAGAACAAGCAATAAAACAAATGTAAACTTTTTAAAAAATTAACAGATGTGGGTAGTTGGTCTACTTTTAGTTTTATTACATGATGAAAATCTTTTATTTAAAAACACACAGCGAGTGGTTAGGATCTGCAAGGCACTGCCCGAGAGTGTGGTAGAGACAGATCCAACGTCAAAAGAGAATATGATAAACACCTGAAGAGAAAAAGGAATTGCAGGGTTATAGAAAGGGTAGGGAAGTAGGGCTAGCTGATTTGCTGTTGGAGAGAACCAGCACGAGGGCTGAATGGCCAGTGCTGTAACTATTCCATGAAGGACTCTCCTTCTCAGCTTCTCCCCTCTCCTGAAGTGTGTTGATCCTTCGGTTAAACTACCAACAGTTGTTTCTCTCCAATGAGAGCAGTTTAATGGTCCAGTAAAACTATGGTGATTTTACCTTTACTATTGCTCGGAATACAGATTAGCAGTCAGCTGAAAAAACCTGCAACCTGCCCCCATCTCCCTCCCCTTACCACCCCAACTAAGTTCCTTAAAAAAATCAGATATTTGTGACCATTTAAGAAAGTACAAAGCTATTTTGTTTTTGGTTTTTCATTTTTCCGTCTAGCGCACAGAATGCTTTACGCTTGAACTGACCAAGATCCAGACAGAGAAGTTAAAGCTTAATTTGAGTAAATCCTATAAAATAACATTTCACATGGAAAAGATTTCACTGACCTACTGCTTCGTGTCAATTCCTCCTTTTGTTGATCAATTACACCCATCATGTTCAGGAACTACAAATGAATTAGAGATAGAATTGAGCAGCAATTACTATGCTGAAGAAGTAGTTACTCAGAAAAAGCTCAAGGTAAATTCATGAAAAAACTGAAATGTAATAAAATCTTGAAGTTTACAAATATCAATACTTCTATGAGTAAACAGTCATTGCAGCTTTAAAAATATTTTCAACAATGTAGTGATAGAAAATACAGGGCCCACTCGTGAATTTCAAAAATAAAATTTGAAACCGATAGGATATGAAATAATGTAGGCTTGTATTTTCATCAAATATTGATATTAGTCCAACAATACTATCAGAGTTCAAAAGATGAAGGTCTGTAAAACATGGCATGGGCTTTTTTCTTGCTTTCCACTAGCTACCTAGAGATCAAAAGGCAGCCTGCAAATATGGAATAGAAGCACATTAAAAAAAAAGTCTAAATCTGTACATTACTTGAGGAACTACAGAAGCCCTATGTTAAACGGTTTCTGACATACTGTTTCAATGTTCCATATGAAAGGTTTGAAAGTGAAGACATTCACAGAGTAAAGACTGGTTAATGTTTTGTAACAGGACTGATACTTGAAAGCAGTTTGTGCTGTGATGGGAGCAAGAACTGAGGGGGGCAGGGGGCAAGTGGAGGGATAGTTTTTGAATTCAGTAGCTCAAATGTAAAGTGCTCTAGTTCAAAGATGTAACAATGATGGTGATGAGAAATGGTTGCAGTATCTGAGAAGGCACATGCAGAACTACAAAACAAAAGCCATACTTGAATGCATATTAATAGTATTTATATATATATAAATTTACTATATTTAAGAGTGTAAAATATCACCTATGCATAAATGGGTGACAAGTATTCTACAAAGATGGTTGAAATTATTACAGGGAAACCGCAGATGCTGCGAGGTTTTAGAAGGCATAATGTTTAACTACCAACAATTTGCACATATACAGCCTTTGTTCACAGTGCTGTCAAACAATGTTGAACATCAAGCCACATAAGACATTAGGTTAGATGATTTAAAGCTTTGCCAAAGATGCAAGATTTAAGGTTTTTTTCAAAAAGAGGAGAGAGAAGATCAGAGGTCAAGGGAGGAAATTCCACCGTTTGAGGCCGAGGCAGCTGATGGCACAGTTTCTAGTTGTGGAGTAATTAAAATAAGTGATGGGAAAAAGGCCATAACTAGAGAAATATGGACATCTTGGAGGGTTGGATAGCTGGACGAAATGAGCCTATTTTTGAAGAGGGGCGCAGGGTTATGTAGACTGTATGCTGAACTGCGTAGCTATAACACTAAACTACGAACATGAAATATAGACAAACTGCACCTTGAAGACAATCATAGAATCACTACAGTGTGGAAACAGGCCCTTCGGCCCAACCAGTCCACACCTAACCTCAAAGCATCCCACCCAGACCCACCCCGCTATAACCCACCTAATCTACACATCCCTGAACACTACGGGCAATTTAGCGTGGCCAATCCACCTAGCATGCACATCTTTGGACTGTGGGAGGAAACCGGAGCACTAGACATTAGTCATTGAAATATAAAACAATGTTGACAGACATGCCATGATTTTGAATATTAGAGGACTAAATATGGAAGATTGAAGAAACTTATCTATTTAACTCTTTTCAAGGTGAAAACAGCTAGGAAAGAAAATAGCCATATAAAACAGTTAGTAAACAATACAGAGAAGGTGGCATAGAATATAATTTCATAATAAACCATCTTGATAGAACACAGAAAGAAGGGTCCAGCTTAGAAAAATGAATACTTAAACTTGAGGTTAAGTAGTTATTCTCAATCTTTCTAGAGATTTGAATGGACTTCCAGACATGGCTGTAAAGCAATGATACTGTTGTGCACAAGAAACATTTGCTTTAGGAAGCAGTGATTGTCGTTCTAGATGTTGACCCAAGACAGTTGATGATGAATAAGGTCATTCAACCTATTTTGTGATTTCTATTGCCATTACCTAATCTGCACATTACCTGCACTTACAAAATAAAATTGTAAAGCGTAACTTATTAGATTGAGCCACCAATAAATTCAAAACTATGTGATACGTAAATTAATTTCATTTATTGGCCATATCAAAGGGTCTTCCTGATTTTCAATGGAAACAGGAATTAATATTATCCAAAGGCAGCAATTTCAAGTTCTTGAAGAATACAATTACTAAATTAAACTGTAGTTTCTAAACTATCCAAAATTCTACAAGCAAACTCCTTTCTTTCCTTTATTGTTCAGTACCAGTTGTAGTCTTAATGGTCCCATCAGGAAAACCCAGATCTCATTTTACATGATCACTTCAATTTCTCAATAATTGATGGTGTATAGTAGGTGGTCCCTGATATTTGAAAATCTAGATCCTAGAAACTGAATGTTGCACAAAACAACATCCAAAAACAAAATTTGTTTAAGCTGTGAACCAGATATGCTCAAAAGTTACATGGTTTCTGTACTTTTAAGTGCCTCAAATAATTGAGAATAATACATTTCACCAATCTGTAGTAGTTTACAGCAATATTAAATCTTGGGCAGGGAATCCTTAGAATGGATGAGATTATAAAGGGTTAACGTTAGAAAATGTTTGTCATCTTCAGCTTAATACAATTAACTGCCAAGTCTTGGGCACAGCTATTAATCATGTATCAATCTAAGATGAAACATTATAAAAAGTTTGTTCTACAGTCTTGAAAACAAAACAAAATGTTGTCCAGCCTTCATTCCACCAACTACTCAAATAGAATGCATACAACATAAAAAACATGCCACCCCAGTAAGATTCAGAGATAGTCACACTGACACATTAATAGCAGAGGATTTGAGTAAAAAGGAACTTGAAACTCAGTTATAATTACAATCATTACTCACACAACAACAAAATAATCAGTATGTAGATGACACCTGGTAATTACAAACATGCAATGGTGTCGTGCAGAGTGGAGTTACCAGGATGTAATTCCAATCAAATCACATCTAGCACAATTTGCTCTTCAATCAATAAGTTTTACAATTCTTTAAAATTGCACAATAGAGTTTTTAAATAGGTTTTTAAGCAAGTAATTTGAAAGAAAATTTGCATTTACAACAATTCAGGTTTGTGCATATGAATTTCAAATCTACATTCAGTCAATGTTCAGACCAGTGGAAGGTTCAAATTAAAACACAAGAAATACTTTCCCCACGATATACAAAATCATGCACTACAGGAGGAGGAGGAGGAGGCCATCCACTTCACTGTGTCTGTACCTGTGATCTGAAACTGCTTTTTTCTCCACAACCCTGCAGATTCCTCCTTTACAACTTGATATTAAATACCCCTTCAAAAATTACCATTACCTCTAGTCTCTCCATCCATTCAAGCAAAACGTTCAAAATTATAACACCAAACATCTTGGATTTTTCTGATCATAAAATTGGTACATTTTGGTTAGCAGCCTGCATGGGTTTCCGCATGGGTGCTCCCGTTTCCTTCCACAATCCAAAGATGTGCAGGTTAGTTGGATTAGTCATATAAAATTGCCTCTAGGTCCAGGGTTGTGCAGGCTAAGTGGATTAGCCATGATAAATGTGGGGTGTGGGAATGGGGGTTTCTGGGTGGGATGCTCTTCAAAGGATCGGTGCAGACTCAACAGGCCAAATGCCCTCGATCCGCACTGTAGGGATTCTGCAAATCTTCCTGCCAGTAGTAAAAAACAGTTTCTTCACATCTATCAAAACCCCTTATAAAATTTTGAACATTTATTAGACAGACATAACTTTTGTTTTATTCCTATCTCCTTCACAGAAGGGAATTTCCTTTTGAAAGTTAGGAAGACTTCAATCGTTTAAACCTAATATAGTATTCATATCACATATAGTCATTACCATTCTCACACTGCAATTTCTTTTGCATATTTCCGGAAACAAATTCTTGTCCATTTGGAGTCTAAATGACTAACGTCAAGTAACGTAGTTTGTCCAGTTTTGAACAGAATGCCCTATTTGTAATTTATTCATTGGAAGTAACGTGAACTCTCTAGGGTCTTCCTAGTTTCCAAATAATTGAAGAATAACAAGTCAGTTTGTGTTGCTGACACCAAAATCTATGAATAAAATTTGATAAAAGAAAATAATTACACTATCAAAGATTGTCACCAAACATATGAATGGGTCAGATCATTAAAGCTTACAATATCAGAGTTCACAAAATAGGAAGTATTTTATCAACTAGCCTGTTAACCCTGATCTCATTCTACTGTCTTTAGCATAAAACTTGCGAATTTGAGTAAAAGGTAAAGATAAAGTCACTATAGTTCAACTGGGCCACAGAGCTGCTCTCTCATTAGAGGGACAACTGGTGATGGTTCAGTTTGGTTCAATAACTTAAGCCAGTGCAGGAACTGAACCTACGCTGTTGGCATCACTCCGCATCACAAACTAACTATCCAGTCAACAGAGCTAACCAACCCCCAAATTTGAATACATCCCAAAGGAATCTGTGTATTTACCTTGATTAGGAACACAATTGGGTAGGGCTAGCATAGTACAGAAGGACAGGATGAAATACTAATCTGTCAATTCAATTTCATGGCCTGGACATGCAACTGCCAATTAGACATTATTTTCCTCTCTATTCCCAAAATAACTAACAATACAATATCCTTTTATTGTCACGTGTACTCCATTGTAGGAGTACAGTGAAAAACTTTTACGACATCTGCCTTCTTATGGCGACATCTTCGGTACAGGTACCTAGGTACAATTCTTGGATACAGCAGAGGAATAGAAGTAGTTGCTTAATTACAGAGTTGAAAATAAGTTAAAAGTAGGAAAATATGAAGGGGTTAACATTACAGTGTTCTACGCTAAGTTCTAAGGTAAGGATTGTCCCCTCACACCGGTCTCCATCCAGGACTTGCTGCCTGTGCACTGCTCTGGGGCTGCTTCCCATGTACTGTTGCAGGGCTTCTTCCCTCTGCTGCTCCGGGCTCATTGCTCGCAGTGTTCTGGGGCT